CTAGCATGCCTTCCATTCCTTCGGGCCACCTGGTATTTTAGCCACCCCCACCAGGTTTCACATCTTCGATAAGCATCCCGAAACCATCGACGGCACGTCCTCTTGAGTCGCCGCCTCATCCGTGCTCGTCTACGCCAATGCGCGTGTTCGCGCCCTTCTTTAATGTGCCTTTTCTTGCGCCCAAACGTCGTACGCCTATGGACCATCTTCTCGCGTACCTTTGTGCACCTCCATGCGCGACCTCGCATATGAGCTCGTACCCGTCTTTTAGGCCATGCATGCGTCACTTTGGCTCTTTTTCCGGCCTCATCGGGTTGTCTCAGCTCTTGGCCCTTCTTGTCGTCGGGGTCCAAAACCCACTTCTGTATCATTCCCACCCCCTTTAAGAATGTCCTTGCCCTCAAGGACTCATCCTCGACTATCCAAACCTCGGGCACCTCTTTTTCGACCACGTGAGCATACCAATCACGGTCCTTGTCGACTTCGACCAAGACCTTACTCTTGCCATCGACCTACTCTTCATACGCACCGTCCTCCTTGTGCGCTACGTCATCATGGACCTCTTCAACCACGAACAAGATCGCTTCCTTGACCTCGGCTACCTCGGCCTCCTCAACGTCCATGGACACGACACCGAACGAAGGTGAATCCTCGCACCCGACTCGCTCGACCATGAACTCGATGGCCTCATCTTCAACATATCCTGGTAGATCTAACGCCAATATGGGTTCTTCGTCGACGGATCCCTCCATGATCTTGACTTGTCGTTCGAGCTTCTCCTCGAGATCTCTTCGCTCGTGTAACTCCTCCAAATATTTTTGCTCTCATAGAGTTAACTCTCTTTCCAATCCTTCCAAAAAATCGAGATCTTCCCAATCTAACTCATCTAATGGTATGAACATCATGACTCTATCTTTTTTTTTTTTTAAGACTCTAAAAATTTCAAAAAAAAGAAGAAGAAATTCGAAATAAATTCGAACCAAAGGGAGGAAAAAATAATAAAAGACTAGATGACACTTTTTTTTTTAGACTCACGAAATTTTTTGAAAATTAAGGGAAAAAATTCGAAAAATATTCGAACCAAAAGAAACATAAAACCGAACAAAAGAAAAAGAATGGGATAGGAAAAGTTTAACGAACACACAATCAATCACTCTCAATGAAAGCACCAATGATGAAGGATCGTGTGTTGCGTTCCCTTGACTTGTCTCGATCACGGCTTCGCCACGGCCTTGCTCTCGACGATAGGTGTGATCGACTCGGTTATTAGCCTAACTCTCTCACGATACTTGAGTTCACTCGGGTATTAGCCTCGCTACACTCTCGAAATAGATCGGGTCTTAGCCTCTCTAAATCGTTGAACTGGCTCGGGTCTTAGCCTCACCAATTCGATTTGTATGATCGAATCTCACGACTCTCAACACACGGTTTCGAACAAACGTTCTTTTGTATTCCATTCCAAGACATGAAAAACAATGAGGGATCATCCCTATTTGTAGATCCTAACTATGACTAATTCTAATCTACCTAGGAAACATATTAAAGCAATAAAATATTAAATATCCTATACAATCTAGATATTATTGTGCAAGAAGGAAACTAAATATCTAAAGTCCTAAATTGACTAGATCTTGATTTTGCTTGGCTTGCACTCCAAACAAATCAAACCACACGCCCAAGTACTCGGCCGCCTCACACGCACGACCGCCTCTCGCGTTTCCTACTCCTTGTCGCGCGCGGCTTCGCGCGCGCGCGCCCTGCACGTCGCCCCATCTTCTCCTAGTCCCGCACGGACTGGGCCTTGTCCGTCCGCGCACGCGTCATCCTTCGCGCATCCCTGCTGGTCGTCAACTTCTCCCCGCGCGTGCCCGTCCTCGCCCGGCACTCCTAAACCCGCAAGGTTTAGGTCTCGCGCATGTGCGTCCCACTCGCGTGCCATCGCGTCCCCATCCCCTCGTCCGTTATCCTCGCGCGCGTCCTCGTCAATTGCGTGGTTGCTGCCCACGCTCAGTGCTCCCGCATCCCTCTCGCGCTCGCCTGCCCGCTCACGCGTATCGCCGACGCCCGCCGCTTGCCTACCTCCTGCGCACGATGACGCGTCACCCGCGTTCAACATCCTGGTGCCGCGTCTCCGTTTATCGCCTCGGCCCTTCGACCTCTTGCGCGCATCATGGCACGATGCGCGCCATCCGTCCCATAGCTGGTCCTCGCCGATCCCTATGTCCCCCGACGGCCACGGATCCCAGCCATCCAACCCAATACAGTCACCTGCACGCCATATCCAGCCATCCTCCATTCCTAGCCTTCCTCGTCTTTGGGACTCCGAACACCACGTCCGTTTCTTCCTAGTGCACGGCCCACAACATTGGCTTATCTTTTGCGCCTTTGATTTGCGTCGTCTTTTGGCCCGGCGCTCCTTGACTTTCAACTTAGCCCGTGGGCCACATCCTTTCGGCCAATCCCTCTTACATGATGGTCGATAAATCGGACTAGATGGCTCCTCCAACATGTTCTCCAACCAAATATCGAGACCATCGTCCTCCTCCTCGTCGGACTTGCCCGGGTTGATGACCACTTCCGTATCGGGCGCGCCCGCCGCGGCCCTTTCATGTTATCGTGCAATAGTTACGTTTTCAAGTCATGATTGATAAATATATTCTTGTTAAGTCAGAAAAGGTTAAAAGAGGTCAGTTCGGTCGAAGAAGTTTGCCGGACGGCCGGCAAGGGCCGGCCGTGGTCGCGCTGCCGCACACAGCGGCAGCAGCGCGTCGGCCAGCAGTCAGCGT